ATTGATAGTACGTAAAGGTGTGAGTTAAAAAAAAAGGGATAGAGATTACATAAAAAAGTGTAGTGGGAGAATGAGTAGGTGATTAGGAGAGAGAGAAAAAATGAGAAAGAGAAAAATTCGTTAGCAAAAGATAGAAAGAGACAAAATGAAAGAAAAAGAGTGAGAGTGTAGGTCATAAAAAGAGGTACAGAAACATTCAGAGAGAGGAAGAAAAAAAGATATTGATTGCTTAGAGTGATATATATAAAAGGGATTGAGAGGCGTAAAAATATGACTTAAAGTGAATGGATGAGTAGAGGGTGTAAGAAAATGAATTAGTAATTTAGAAAATGATGAAAAGAAGAAGAGAAAGGGAAAGAGAGATAGAGAGAATGAGAGGCAACCAATATGAAATTTTGTTTGAAACAAAAATAATGATTTCGGCAGTTCACTAACCTCGTCTTAAAAAATTATATGCTTATATCTTTTAAAAAATATTTAATATTATAACACTAATCAAATATGGAAAAAGATAAAAATAAATTTAATTTAAGAAAATTTGTTATTTTCTTATTTATAATTGTGTTATTTATTGGCACTCGTCAATATCATTCGGTAATTGATCTTACCCAAATAATTCGACATAAACTATCCTTTGAATGTAGTCAGGTTCCGCCGCTTTGGGCCATTTCATATCAGAATTTTGTCCCGAATAAAGTAGTATTCAGTGGTCTGAAATTCCCTGAAAAGATCCATCTAAGTGTGAAGTATTGGCCCTTTCTCCGTTTAGATAAGAAGCACAAAAGGGAGTCGAAGTAGAAATAAAACTGAAGAGAATTTTTAACAAAATATCGATTCAAGGGGGATGTTTTAAAATATTCGGTTTGATAAGATTAATGAACGTCATTTGTCAGCCGGGGATTCGTCAATTTAAAAAAAAATTGCTAGAAATTAAAAAGTTTACAAAAAGCTATTTCGTATGTAATAACTTTTTAAATTTGTTAACTTTTTTCATTTTTAGAGAATGTGTTGATGTTTTAGATACAGGTTTCTCGTTTTTCTTTAAGAAATCAAAGAGGAAAAGGAGAAGATGGAGTAAGGTGAATAAGAAAAAAAAACGACTGTGCGCCAGCATAGGATTGACACATAGAGTGGCTCTCCTTTTTGCAGAGTGTCAGCCAGCCGGGATATAAATGGTTGCCTCGAGGGCCATTCATCATCCGGAGCATTTTCCAACTCGTCGTTAAGAGCCAATATCCGATTTATTCCACAGGAAACTGGGCTTAACCGGGAGAACAGGCCACCCTGAAAGGTCTATCCTCTTACCTGGAAAAGGAAAAGGAAAAAATTCCCTTAAGAATTACGCCTGGTCCTTCATGAAAAGTCCTAAATCATGATATTTGTCTTCGGTCAAATGGTATTAATGGGTGGGGGGTAAAACACGACTCTTACCTTTGAACTTTAAAATTAAAAATCGTAAATCGTACAAATTACTTATTAAAACAAATAAATATTAAAATATTAATGATAAAGCCATGGATTTCACGGAAGAAACAAACTCACTATCTCCTCATCATCTGAATAAAGTAGGAAACGTAATAAAAACCATTAAAACCTTGAGAGCGACGGAATTAAAAAAAAATTAGATAACAAATCTATAATTCCTATAATTTAAACCACTGAAGTTCAAGTTTCTGATTTAAATTTGCTCCACCTCAAAACAAATTTTTCTTTCCAATTCTCTTTTTGCAGCATAGATTTACATATTTACAGCTACGTTTTGTATTAAACAGGGTGTCAACTTAGTAGTGCCCCCTAGTTTTCTTCAAACCTACTCAACTTAAAAATAATGCTATTATTTTAAGCATAAACTTTTCCTTCAAACATAACAAAAGTTAAATAACGAAACGTTTTGTCTGTGTGAAAGAGTGAGAGTGTATGTCAAAAAAGAGACGGAGAGAAACAGTCAGAGAGAGAGAGAGAGAGAGAGAGAGAGAGAGAGTGAGTGAGTGAGAAAGAGAGGGAGGAAGAAAAGATAAACGGCATTGATAGTATAAAAACGTGTGTGTGCGAGTTAAAAAAAAATATTTTGACCTCAAAAGTTAATCTTATGATTCTTCCTTCTTGAAGGTGGGATAATAGGTCATCTCAAAAAACCACAACCAGTTTTTATCCACAACGTTTCGGATTTATTTGAATCCTTCCTCAGGTGAGTTAACGCAATGGTTAAAAAATTTGTCGTCAGTCATTAATATTTTATAACAATTTATTTTAAAAAAGAGCCAGTGTAGTACTTATTCAGACTAGAAACAAACGACGTTCTAGTCTGAATAAGTACTACACTGGCTCTTTTTTAAAATAAATTGTTATAAAATATTAATGACTGACGACAAATTTTTTAACCATTGCGTTAACTCACCTGAGGAAGGATTCAAATAAATCCGAAACTGGTTGTGGTTTTTTGAGATGACCTATTATCCCACCTTCAAGAAGGAAGAATCATAAGATAAAAAAAAAATACCGAGATTATATAAAAAGGTGTAGTGAAGGATGAGTAGGTGATTTAGAGAGAGAGAGAGAGAGAGAGAGAGAGAGAGAGAGAGAGAGAGGGTGAGAGAGAGGGTGGGTAAGAGTAAAAACGTTTGCAAAAGAGAGAATGAGTTAGAAAAAAATGTAAAAGAAAGAGTGAGAATGTATGCCAAAAAAGAGATACAGTGAAACAGTCAGAAAGAGAGAGAGAGAGAGAGAGAGAGAGAGAGAGATAGAGAGAGAGAGGGAGAAAGAAAAGAAAAACGGCATTGATAGTACAAAAACGTGTGTGTGCGAGTTAAAAAAACCGAGATTATATAAAAAAGTGTAGTGAGGGAATAAGTAGGTGAGTTAGAGAGAAAGAGAGAGAGAGAGAGTGAGAGAGAGTAAGAGGAAAAAAGGTTTGCAAAAGAGAGAATGAGTTAGAGAAAAAATGTAAAAGAAAGAGTGAGAGTGTATGCCAAAAAAGAGATAGAGTGAAACAATCAGAGAGAAAGGGAGAGAGAGAGAGAGGGAGAGGAAGAGGAAGAGGAAAAAAACGTGTGCAAAAGAGAGAACGAGTTAGAGAAAAAATGAAAAACAAAAGGTGTATGCCAAAAAAAGAGATAGAGTGAAACAGTTAGACAGAAAGAGAGGGAGGGAGAAAGAAAAGATAAACGGCATTGATAGTATAAAAACGTGGGTGTGCGAGTTAAAAAAATCCCGAGATTATATAAAAAAGTGTAGTGAGGGAATAAGTAGGTGATTTAGAGAGAGAGAAAGAGAGAGAGTATGAGGAAAAAACGTTTGCAAAAGAGAGAATGAGTTAGAGAAAAATGAAAAAAAAGAGATAGAGTGAAACAGTCAGAGAGGAAAAAGAGAGAGAGAGTAAGATAGAGAGGGAGAAAGACAAGATAAACAGTATTGATAGTATGAACAAGTGTGGCCATCTGGGCATTTAACGAAATTTACATGGCTCGTGGGTTCGAATCCCCTCGTGACACTAACATTTTCATTTTAACCAAAACCTTACGTAAAAAGATTATTTAATTGAAGTAAGTAATTTAATCAATAGACGGCTAAATATAACGTATTATGTATTCTATTTCCATATACAACTCGAATTTGCTCACCATGATGATTTATGTTAATTTTTTTTATAGAAAAAAAAACAAATTTGATATCCGTTTTCAATTTATGATCTTATTTTAATAAAAATGCATCTGTTATGTATGTTCACTTATTCAATTTAGGATAGTTTCAGGTATATGTGCTTGAAAATTTTTTTAAGTTTTTTAAAAATGTATGTTAAAATTTTGACAATTTGAGGATATTTTGTGTAATGAATATTTTGTTAAACAATAATATGTGTTTCAGGTGTGCGAAGGGACAGGCAGGCCAGACCAATATAGGGCTTGCATCCGCTCAAGGGCCTTAAATGAAGCTTCGCACGCCCAACTCGGATTTCTCGCTTTCCCGACGAATTCATCACAGCACCGAACATATCATCAACCCTAGTCAGGACAATGAGGTTTTATTTTAAAAAAATCTACTTTTTATAAATGGAAAATATGTGATTTTGTTTTGGTTACCAAGAAGTCGAATTTCGTTCAAAATTTGATTTCCCTAAGATATATTTATTATATTGCCAGTTGTTTTAGATTGTTTAAGTGATTTATGGTAAAACCGAGGGGATTTTTAAGCTTCAACGGTTTTCCATTGTTTAAATTTAGAATTTGTTTTTTCAAACTGTAATCTCAACGGTTGATATCTCTCGAATTAACTCAACTTGTACAATTACTCATAGTGGCAACAAGAGAGTTTTGCATATCTTTCTATCTTATCTCAATCCTAACTTTGAAGAGTCAAAATGTCCTTGAATAAAACATAAGTTTTAAATACGAGTTTATTACTTATTCTTTAGGCATTAAATAATACTGTATTTTACACTGGAAAATATTATTTTTTAACAAGCACTATTAAATTAACCAACTTTTTTATTCTAACAGCAAATTTTATTTAGTAAAAATATGAATCTATGATAATTTATATACTTTCATATTGAAAACAGTGCCTATAAAACCTTTTTGACGAACCAAATTTAAAGGCATTTAAAAATTTTGAGAGGAAAGAAAATATCAATAATAAAAACAGACGTTATGTGATTGTTTATATAAATATGGCAATACTTGACAGAAATATTTGTAAATAATCTTTTATTGGTCTCAACGATAAAGCATGACGTTTTATTGTTTTTATAATAATCAAGGCGAATGGAAATTTCCAATATAATCAACTTGTATTTATATTGTAATTACTATAATAAAATATCGTAAATCAAATTGCACATTTTGTAAATAATTTAAATATAAAGGAATATCATTAAAATAATCTATTGTTACCGATTTAATAGTTTGTAAAGCATTATATATTGAGATAATTGCGAAATCGCAATGCCTGCAGCTATTGTTGTGATATAAAACCCGCAATAAAATTTATGTACTTGTTACGTGCCAAAAATATATTTAAAAAACAAAAGAAAAAAAATTAAAAGCGGGCAGCTTATTTGATATAAAAAAAGTGCCAAGAAGCATTTTGTAAATGTTATAATTAAAAAAAACACGATTGTAAATATATTTATTTCCTAAATTTTCCGTTGTATTTATTCAATCCTAATAATAGAAAACACAAAGGATAAAAAGTCTTATTAAATTATATATTTGATTTATCGTCTTATTTTATTGTTACCCCTTTTGCCACTTTTCTGAGGCAATTTCGCCAAGGAGCCTACGAGTCGTGTAGCAGCGTCGATAGATGGCACGTCCAATTTCAACTTTTTGGACCCATCTACGTAAAATGTGTAACAGCTGTTTCAGTTAAGTTTATGGCAACACGTCGCAGATCACCGGAACACTTAGCTGTTGTAGGGGGCAACATGTGGTACCAGTTACTTATAATCTAATGTCTTTGTCTTTCAGTATTTAATAACCTTTGGGTTTTCTCTGTTTTGATAGTAGAAATGGATGGCTTACTTTAGACAGCGCAATCGAAACAAGAAATGAATGACTCGTGATCACAAGTTTATCGTAACTTAATTAATTTAAGATCACAAAACAATGCGAAGTTCCTATAACAGCAATAGAATTAACGTAAAGTACAACTTAAATTCACTAATTTCGTGGTCCGCTTGACCAATTAATATATTACAATTAATTAAGGTTTTTAGTTGAGATAAAAAAGTCAATGGCACGAGCGGGATTCGAACCCACGATCTTCGGCTTGATACGCCGCTGCTCTACCACTCGAGCTATCGTGACCTCGATCCTCGGACACTAACTTCCCATCTCAACCCCACCTTTTGAATTTTCCCTCCGTGGCCATTTCATTTGTCGTAGAGAATCCAATCCGATTCCACAAATATGGCAAAAAGGATGGAAAAAAAAGGTGTCCTAGTGGATCGACGTCACGATAGCTCAAGTGGTAGAGCAGCGGCTTATCTAGCCGAAGATCGTGGGTTCGAATCCCGCTCCTGCCATTGACTTTTTTATCTCAACTAAAAACCATAATTAATTGTAACATATTATTAATTTATCTCTATGTTAATTTTACATTTTTTAGTTTCAAATTTCTCAAATCAATCTAGTTCCCTCCCTTTGTTGAAACTATGTAACACTATTGTATTTCAATTTAAATTGAAATTGTGTTTTGTTTCTTTTAGGCGGACCTAAAATTCCGAAAATTTGGTCGATTTAGGCAAATGATCTTGAACTCTCGTTTTTATTTCTCTACCGCCTTGTCCTATATATTTAATGTCACAATCATTACAATTATGTTGGTAAACCCCACTTTTTGCCAAGTTGTCTACCTTATCTTTAGGTTTTGAGAGGATGTTTCTAATTGGCCATTTACTTCCAAAAAGCTATTTTAAAACCTTTTTGTTGGGGACGTCAGTGGCCGCAACGGTTTACGCGTTGTCACGGCGCTCATCATTGTAAGGTAAAGGTCCCGGGTTCGAATCCAGCGGCCCTGCAATCCAACCCGACATAGTTACAAATGGGCTTTTTTTCAAAAACACCGGCGCCCCGATGGTTGAACCTCTGCTGTTGAGAACCCTCGTAAAAAAAAATAAAAAACCTTCTTGTTTAAGAATAAGACATACTTTTTCTGATAGTTCACCAATGGAAACCTAATTATTCATTTATGGTCGGGTGGTTGAGTCTTATTGTTGCTTCTCTTATAGTTAATTTTTTTATTCTTTTATCTAGCAACATATCAATAATTAATCTTTATGTAAGGTATTGGTTGAGATAAAAAAAGTCTGTGTCACGAGCGGGATTCGAACACCGTTCGGCTTGAGCTGGGTTAGAAATCCGCTCGTGTCAATAATTTTTTTCATCTCAACCAAGACGTAAAAAGAATCATTAATCAAAGTTAAGTATGTCAATCTAATGTTCGATTTCATATAAAATTCATATCCCCTCCACCATCTAATTTGCTGCATAAGTATCTAATTTTAAATACTTGAATAAGGTGTCCACCCTGGATTTTGTTATGGGAAAGGGATACGCTGGCTTTAAAAAAAAAAATTGAGAAGCCCCTTGAAAGAAGGTTCGAATCGAAAGGCTGAACTACGGAAGGAAAGTACAATAAACCAGAAAGCTGCAGTGCTTCATCATCATAATCATCAAGTTCATATTCTTGAATAAATCCATTTACGTTTTCGTAGTCAATTGACTAAGATACTTCTTTCAATCAATTAATTATTCTTTCTAAGGTTTTGGTTGGGATAAAAAAGTCGGTGTCACGAGCGGGATTCGAACCCACTGGGCTAAATACGCCGCTACTCTACCACTTGAGCTATCGTGACTTCGATCCACTTCGAGTGGTAGAACAGCGGCGTATTTAGCCGACGGTCCTACCGGTGAGTTCGAATCCCCCTCGTGACACTGACTTTTTTATCTCAACCAATACCTTACATAAAGATTAATTATTTGAAAGATGTTATTTGGTCAATCGGACCACGAAATCTAATGAATCTGTCAATAAATATTTCTTGATATCCAATGAAAAAATTTGATTATAATGAAAAACTTAATTTTTATTAATAACTTTTTGTTAATAGTGTAATAATAGCAGACCTCATATAATAATTAGTGTAAATTGAGAAGTATCTTTATGATTTAATACACGTCAGACTTGATTGACCGACGTAGACAATGGGCGGTATTGTGCCGGTTGAAAATGTAAGGGAACAAAACGGAAATATCAAAGTCCCGAGGAAAACCGTGGGCAATAGATCTAACCGATTGTTCCCCGTGAAGTATATACATAGCGATAACGTAAACTATGGAGGGCTCTGGGTCAATATCAATAGAATGCTGAATTAATCATTAGCCGTGTTTCTCCCAGCAGGAAACAAATCACAAGGCTTGAAGGATGCAAAGGACTAGGAAAAGTACCAAAAGAACGCGTTAAACTATTTCCGTTTGTACTTGTAATAAAAATTAAACAAACTAAAAATATAATTTTTTAAATGATGTCCTCCAACAGTTATTTATGCATTTGTTGACAGATTTTCTTCACAATCTTCCACCTTTCAAACTACATTTTCCTGTTGAATTTTATAAAATGTGTAGGATAAATAAGTATCTAAACTGACAAAATTTTGTTCTGAAGAGTTCGTCCGAACAAACACTTGTTTTCCAATGAGAGTGTTTACCGTGGCAGCGAAGTGCGTGTCAGAATACGCACGATGTCTTCAGAAGTCAGAACCATTCGAGCGTTCAAACCAGTTGAATTTTTCCGTTCAATTTAGACAGTTTTGGTATTTCACCATGGATATAGATAAACTGATCAATCTTGTTTTTGAGAATCGGTACAAAAAATATCACAACAGAGATATTTCACGACTAAAGTGGCTGAAAGTTTCTGAAGAAATAAGCCATATTTGATTAGTGGTCATAATTGCCCATATTAATTATTCTAATGAATACTTCTTTTTATCTAAGGTTTTTGGCTGAGACGAAAAATTAGTGTCACGAGCGGGATTCGAACCCACGACCTTCGGCTTAATACGCCGCAGCTCTAACAACATGAACTATCGTAACTTCGTTCCGCTCGGATACCAACTCATCTCAACCTACAACCGTTGTAATTTTCCCTTTTGCTATTTTTGAAATTTCATTTTAATTAATACAGTCAATTTTGACCGAACTAAAAGTTTATAACAGTGTCCTGCGCACAGTGGTATGTTACGGCGCTCAAGTATGGGGTTTCCAGTCATACGAGGTTGTGGAAAAATGTCAACGTTTTTTTGTTAAAAAACTTTTCAACTTACCATCTTTCTCCCCAAATTACATGCAAACTAATCCTGTTTGCCTCCTCTATTCTCGTATACCTTTTCCCTCCACCTAAAATATATGTCAAAGATACTGAGCCTCCCAGATGTTCGACTGCCTAAAATAATCGCTCTACAGATAATTAGAAAGAATATCTCCTGGTATAATCAATGGGCTTCTCTAGCCCAGAAATACTTGCTCCTGGCAAAACTCCGGTGTTCGGGAGAATCTCTCGGACCTTTTAGTGCTTCCTTACAAAATAATCGAAGTTCATCGAAAAGAAGCTGTGAATAAGGCGAAAAGCACAGAGAGGTTCTACTTGTATAAGGAACTTCTCAATGAACACCTACTCTCATATAAACCGAGCCTTTCCCAGGACCTTAATATTAGAGATTCTTGTNATCAATTCTAATAAAGTATTGTGTATTGTATTGTTGTATTGTATTATGACCGATAATCATACATGGATTAATATGCATTTTTAAGGGACTAGCAGTAAGTTTGAAACACTCCCTTCTCGTCTGTAGTGGAAAATAAGTGGTTAACCTGCTCTGTTTTCCCACCACCTATCATCAATAGCTTAACCAACGGACTTTCAAGAAAATAAAATTCATTAAGTTTGTCCATTTTGCTGAGAGGCAGAAACGTACTATCAGAAAACGCGCACAATGTAACCACCTTGTTCTCACGAGGATTTCGGAAGTACTCGTCAGAATTCGCATCGTTGACTCATCTCCTCCTCCTTTTTTTCCTACGAACGTTCGAATTACACTGGTTGGGTAACTTACATCGAACCCCCACACTGTACTAGACTAGAACTAAACGATCCCCACGCCAGACCGGTGGATTAAACTATAATGTACTCTCTTTACTATGGCACCTATGGTTTAGAAAGGGGATGGCTGTACTGGCCCATATTGGTCAACGTTGGAAATGGTATTGTGAAACATTGGCTTTGGAATAGATTTCACTAAACACATCAAAGGAGAGCAACATGCGCGAACGAAGTACGTAGTAGATAGGTAACGTGTCCTCACACTGAAACTTAGTCGTCCTTGTTTGTTGTTTCGAACCAGGTTTCTGTCAATAACTTGTAAATAGCAATTTTACCTCTCGCACGAAACTGCAGCTACAGTAGCAATTTTTTCGACCACTATGTCCATCATGGCACCGGA